AGACGCTTACCCATCTGAGCCACCCAGGCGCCCAAGTTTTTAACGTTTGGAGGGATTGCCAGACTTTCCCACAGTGGCCGTACCATTTTACATTTCCACTAGCAGTGCAGGAGGATTCCAGTTTCTCCACATCCTCACCAACACTTACTCACTTTTGATGATAGCTATTTTAATGGCTGTGAGGTGGAATCTCAGTGTTGTTTTGATTTGCATTCCCTAATGATTAATGATGTGCATCTTTTTCATGTGCTTATTGACTATTTATATAGCTTCTTTGAAGAAATGTTTATTCAAGTCCTTTGCTCCTTTTTACATTGGGTGGTTTGTTTTTTGTTGTTGAGTTATAGGAGTTCTTTGTATATTCTGGATATTAGACCCTTACCAGATATATGTATCTGCAGATATTTTCTCCTGTAGATTGTATTTTCACTCTCTTAATAGTACGTTTTGATAGAAAAAAAAAAGTTTTTCATTTTGATGAAGTTTAGTTTATCTATTTTTACATTTATTGCCTTTGTTTTTGGTGTCCTATCCAAGAAGTCATTGCTGAATCCAACATTATGAAGATTTTTCTCCTGTTTTCTTCTAAGAAAAATTTTAGGTCTTATGTTTAGGTTTTTGCTACATTTTGAGTTAAGGTGTTTTTTAATGGTGTAAGGTAAGGGTCCAATTTATTCTTTTGCATGTGGTTATCAGTTTTCTCAGCACCATTTGTTGGAAAGACTGTCCTTTTCCCATTGGATGGCCACGGCACCCTCGTGGAAATCTATCTCCTATTTTATTTTATTTTGTTTTATTTTAGAGAGCAAGTGCGAATTGGGGGGCAGAGGGAGAGGAAGAGAGAATCTTAAACGGGCTCCATGCTCAGTGGGGAGCCTGATGTGGGGGTCGATCTCATGACTCTGAGATACAACGTGAGCCAAAATCAAGAGTCGGTTCCTTAACCAGCTGAGTCACCCAGGCGACCCTCTCCTTCTCTTTTAAATGACAGAGATTATAACACTATGAGAGAATGTTGGAAAACAGGGAGGACAGTCATGATTCCCTCTCCTTCCCACTATATGACTATGAGTGCATACTCTTGGGCTTTATTTTTCATACATTCACTTACTGTCTCTCTGTAAGTGATTATACCTATTTTGTGTCATGCCTTTTTACCTATATGCATTGCTAAATGTGATGATTCTGCAAGGCTGCTTGAAAGTACTCTAAGTGGCTCAGTGCTACCACAGTGGATCGTGGTGCACCAGTAGGTTTTGCCATTGTGAATTGCGTCGTAGAGCACATCTTCGCACATTGGCTTTTTCATTAGGGCGAATGCCTAGGTATAGAATTGCTCTCTGAAAGGGTATGGATGCTTACCATGGTTTGCGGTATGTGTGTGCCTTCTAAAATTATTGTACCCATTTGTAGTTGGCATTGTTGAGTACATGAACTACACTGGGTATTAGCAAAACAAAAGTTGTCATAGACGAACATGATTCCCTTTGTATTCACTCATTCGTTCAATGAATCTTTGTGTTCCATCTATACATCTATACGCCAGGCCCTGCTGAGATCCTGGGGATCCACTAGTGAGTAGAACCAGAGCTTCTGTCCTCAGAGATCTTCCCTTTATTAGTGGGTGAGACAAAGAAGAAACAAATGGACACATGGACATGTCCAGTGGTTGAAATGCTATGGAGAAGGCTTAAAGAGGTGATGGGCACAGATGTCTGGGCTAGGGTAGAGCGAGGCTGGGACTGAGGCATTCAGGGAAGGAAGGAAGGTGTATCTCTCAGTATCACCTGAATGGCGACTGAAGGAGCAGAGAGGTGAGCCAAGGGGCAGCTGAGAGGAGAGCAGTCCAGGCACAGTCTTGAGATGGACAGAGGGTGCTTGAGCCCTTGTGGCTGGAGGTGCAGAGGGCAGAGAGGAAGGCAGACTCCGATCCTGTCCTCTGAGTGAGGGTTGAGTGATCCGTGTTCTGATTTGGTCGCTCTGGCTGCTGTGGAGATTGCGGGAGGGCTGGGATGGAGGCAGGGGGGCTGGGGGGAGGCTCTGATAGTATCCCAGCAAGAGAAGGTGGTGGCTTGGGTCAGAGTGGGAGCTGAGGGTGGGGGAAGGGCTTGATTCTGGGTGTGTTTGGAGGGGAGAGTGGACAGGATGCACCGAGGGATTGGATTGGGGGAGGTGGGAAAGGATTCAGGATTTCTGACTTGAGCAGATGGAGGGGTGGAATAGCTCTTCACATAGAGCTGTGCAAAAAACAGGGAACAGCTCTACTCTGGTATGCTAATTCAAGTTGTAACTTGCTTTTCTTTAAATGCAAGTCAACTTCAGCATTTTTCTCTGTTTGTTCTTTGTTTATACTGGCTCAGAGTATTTGTAAATTTAACATTTACACTGAATGGCATGGAACGAGGATGGTTCTCCAGAAACAGGGCTCCCAGCCTTGTCAAACCACGAAGACGCCCTGCCCTTAGAGCAGGAGCCAAGGTAGTCAGAGCTCTGGGAGTACAGGTGCTTCCAGGAGTTTCTTTCCAGGATGTCCTGGAAAAGCTCTGGGTTTGTGGTCAAAGTGCCTGTTCAGTTAGGCTGCCCAGGCCTGGTGTTTGGCCTTAGAAAGGAGGGTGGTTGACACGGGTCTCTGCAGAGAGCTGGCTTTGAGTGAACAGCACAGGGTTCTATCCCCTATCTACGCCCGCCAGGTGTGCCTGGAGCTATCACACGTTCTCAGTTTGTGTGGCAGTTGTGACTCCATATATGCTCTTTTTGTGTCCTCATTGTCAAAAAGGGAACCAAAACCTTCACAGGCACTTCTTAACAAGGGGGGTGGAAGGTATGTCGCATCTATAAACCTAAAGTTAGCAGGTGACATCGGACGTCAGGTGTGTGGGCGGCGGGGGGGCAGTGGCAGCCTGCTGACTCCAGGGTTTCCTGTGAACACCTCGGTGATTTGAGCTCCACGCAGGATGACATCCGGTGACAGGCTCCCTTCGGTCTCTAGCATTTCCAAGGTGTCCTTTCTTCCTTGACTACTAGACCTGAGGACAGAGATGCGTGTGGTGGGAAAACGGGCCTGATGGACATGGTGGGCCCTTTGGGGAGGAAGCAGTCCTCCTGTCCCTCTTCCTGCCGGCCTCTGACATGACTCCATGGAGAGGGGTGGGCCTGTGTGATTGGCAGCTGACCTCTCCTGTCAGGTTCGAAGGGCTGTCCCCAGCCTGGAGCCAGGCACTCGGGGGTGCTGAATATCCCAGGGCAGAGTGGTTCGGGCCTGAGGCCCTGCGTGCGGAGCGGCAGCTGTGGGTGCCGAGAGCAGGCCTGGCTGTTGTGCCTCCCCTAAGAGCCAGAGAAGCTCTGCATGTGGAATGTGGTCTTGGGTTTTTCTCCCCAGTAACAGAATTTAGAGAATTTTCTATGGTTTAAAGCAAACTCTTCCAGCTCTTATATTGTGAACATTTTTGAACAGAGTAGAAAAGTTGAGAGAATAGAGTCACACCCACATACACACCTCTTGATTGAACAGTTAATGTCTTATCATATCTGCTTTGTCTCCGTGTGTGTATATATACACATATATGTATTTTAAATTTTTCTCTGACCCATTTGAAAGAACGTTGCAGTCATTATGAAACTTCAACTCTGAATACTTTAGTTTGTATCCGAGCTTAACAACAGCTTGGTTTTGTTGTTCGGTTTTGGCCTGGCCATGCGGCTTGTGGCAAGGTCTGAAGCGTCCAGGGACCAGCAGCGTTGACAATAGGCCTCAGTCAGGAGCAGCTGGGCCCTCATCCACGCTCACTCCCTGCATTAGCACTGTTTTCTTATTTCCAGCCTTAGTTTAGAACCTTAAAAATGTATGGTGCAGCCTTCCAGTTTGTGAAAAGGAACGAGGGCAGATCAGCCTGTGCCCACACGTCGCCCTGTGCCTGTGCTCCTGCCCACCTGCCCAGAGCCCCACTGGCCGGCACTTGGCATGCCCCTCTGTGCTGTGGTGTCCGGGACCCTGGACAGTATTGAACATGGTTTGCACTTTTTTTTTAAGATTTTTATTTATTTATTCAGAGAGAGAGAGAGAGAATGGTAGTGAGAGAACATGAGAGGGAAGAAGGTCAGAGGGAGAGGCAGACTCCCTGCTGAGCAGGGAGCCCGATGCGGGACTCGATCCCGGGACTCCAGGATCATGACCTGAGCCGAAGGCAGTCGCTTAACCAACTGCGCCACCCAGGCACCCTGGTTTGCACTTTTTACGACTTTATATAATTATTATAGCTTTCATTCTTCTCTGTAAACAGGCTGCTATTAACTTCCTCATAAGGTTGTTAAACGAGAAGGATATATGTGTAAATACCTCGTCCCATGCTGGCAGGGAGTAGAGATTCAGTACATACAGGCACACCCCATTTTATTGCAGTTTGCTTTATTGCGCTTCAAAGATAATTGCGTTCTTTTTACAAATAAGAGGTTGGTCGCAACCCTGCATCCAGCAAGTCTGTCAGTGCCATTTTTCCAACAGAATTTGCTCACTTTGTGCCCCTGTGTCATTTTGGTAATTCTTGCAATATTTCAAACGTTTTCATTATTATATTTGTTACGGTGATCTGTGATCGTTGACTGCAACTTGCTGAAAGCTCAGATGATAGCTAATATTTTTTAGCAATATTAATTACATACTGTATTGCTTTTTTTTTTAAGATTTTATTTATTTATTTATTAGAGAGAGCACGAGCCAGGAGGGGTAGAGGCAGAGGGAGAGGGAGAAGCAGACTTCCCACTGAGCAGGGAGCCCGCTGTGGGGCTCAATCCCAGGATCCCAAGATCATGACCTGAGCTGAAGGCGGATGCTTAACCCACTGAGCCATCTGGGCATCCCATGTACATTGGTTTTTTAGACATAACGCTATTGCATATTTAATATACTAATATATAGCATAGCGTAAACATAACTTTTATATGTACTGGGAAATCAAAAAATTCATTTGATTTGCTTTATTTTGACATTTGCTTTATTGCAGTAGGCTGGAACCAAACCCGCAGTATCTCTGAAGTATGTCTAGACCGTTTTACTTCTTAACCTAATAGGTGTTGAGGAAATGTGGATGTTGAAGTGGGCAGTCAGGTTGGCAGGGAAGTCGATCCCCTCACCCGCTCAGGTACAGTTTACAGCCCAGCTCTGTCCTCAGAGAATCTTGGGCTCATTCAAGGGCAGAAGGGTGTATCAGGGGCTTTGGGGCCCCTACCTGGGAGGAACTGTGGCAGCCACTCCCCCAGGTCGCTCAGCCCAGCCCCAGGCCCCCCCTACTCCATCCTTTGCCTCTTCCCTGCCTCCCAGCCCAGCCCAGGGACAGCTCTGTGCCTGTACCACTCACTACTTGGGAACTACCTGCCTCCTGAGGCTTTGAGCAGCAGTGTGTGGAAGAGCCCAGGACTCTGCCCAAAGAAGATTAGAAAAAGACAGAGCTGAGCTCTGGGGCTGGAAGGAGTCCAGGGTGGCTGACTCAGACACCTTCAGGGCCCTGTGGGGCACTTTCTGCTAGGCTGTTCTGCCACCAGTCACTTTCCTTTATCATGCTGCAGACCGCCCCTCCTTTGGGCCCCCTCTTCCAGGAGCTGCTGGTGGGACTGCTAAGAAACATTTGCGCATTTGAGGGGGCAGTTTGGCAGGGCTGGGAGAAGCTTTCAGAGGAAGAGATCTCCTGAGGCCACTTCATGCTTGTCCTGGCTCTTTGTCCAGACTTTTGCGAGGCTGCTAACTTGCCCATGGCTTCTTGCGCCAGCCGTGAGACCAGCCATTCCTGGTCTTCCTCAGGAGGCCTCTCCTGGCCCCCAGGGAATGAGAAGTAGCAGACTGCACCTGCCACCTCTGCCTTACCTTCATCCCCTGGCACAGCAGCGCATGAAATTCACTCAGCACGGAGCTGCAGGGGCTTGACAGACCGGGGACACCTGTCCGCAGGTGCTGGTGGCCGAGTGGCAGGGGGCCTGCAGAGCCTTGAAGTGGCACTAGGTGGCACTCTCAGGGGAGTCCCAGCAAGGTGGGAGGACTCAGTGTGGCTGGAAGGGACCTTATTCAGGGTGGGAACCTAAACTTAACAAAGGATTTTTGTTTTTCTCAGAAATCATTAACTATTGTCTGGAATCTAGAAGGCATTTCCTTACTGAAACATACGTGGTGGAAGTCAGACTAGAAGGCTGATCTCAGGACAGACCTGTGGGCTGGCTTACAAGTTTTCTAAACACCAGTCGGCCTGAGAGGCTTACAGTGGTGATAAAGGGACTCTGGTAGACGTGGGGTGGCCTGTTGCCCCTTTTACAGGGAGAGCACTGGTGTTCCAAAGGCTGCTCAGCAAATGAGAACCTGGGCTTCTGTCTTCCTCCCCCCTAGTGTAACTTGGACTAGGCCTGGTCTGGAAGCACGGCAGCCTTGGAGGAAGTGAGAATGGTCCTCCAGGATCTTTCTGGTTCTGGAATTTAGTGTTGCCAGGATTCTGTGTTATCTTCCTGTGCTTTAACTCCTTTTTGTCCCGTCTTTGCGGTGTGTTTGCTTGGGGCTCTGGGTTGAGAGGGGGTCTTAAGTCTCACTGAGGCTCAGAGAATGCCGTGGGCCCAGACTAGGAAACTGTGAGGTGCAGCCCATGTTGGGTATTCACCAGCCGTGTGCTGGAACCTAAGCCCCAGGGGGGCTCCCTGCTTCTGTGTTCCTACTATCCATTGTGGGTGACCAATATTATGGAAGTCCCTGAGGAGGGACCCCGTCTTCTGGCCTGTTCCCCGCTGCAGCATCCCAGGTCTGTAGCTTGTCACAGTGCACTTGCTGGGATGGATCCAGATGAGGACAGGTGTGTGGGGCTTTGTCTGCACGGTACCATGTCCTGTTCCAGGCTGCCTGGGCCCAGCTGCCCATCTCTTTACAAGCCAAAAGGCTCTTTCTTCTGTTCCAAATGTTGCTTTAGAAACCAGATTCTCAGTGGTCAGAGGAAGCAAGGGTTGTATCCTTGATCAGTAGCCTAGAGTGGGAAGACTGAGCTTTCTGAGACAGTCTGACCATTGGAAGGGGTGCTGACCTACCCAGATGCTAATCCGGTTCCCAAATTCCACACCTTTTCTTTGGTGTTCCCATCACTCAGTCTCGCCTAGAAAATGTTAAGCTGGTTCCTTCTTTCCATCCCTTGTGGAGTGAGTGCTGGGTGGGCATGGGAATAAGGTACTGACCCCCCACCCCCGCCCCCCGCCCCCAGGCTGGGCCCTGCCGTCTAGTGGAGTAGAAGGACACTGCCCGAATTCCCCCCACCCCCCTTGAGGCCAGAAGGGACTTTTTGCTTACTGGGTCTGGTTCCCTGGCCAGGCCAGATTTTATGTGGCAGGGGTTTTGTATGGTAGGGGTGTGTCTGCCTGGAGGAGAGGGGGCAGGGGCAAGACTGGGGGCAGCTTGTAGCTTCAGGATGGCAAAGAGCCAGGACTTAGTTACCTTGTGTGTGCTTCAAGGGCTAGAAAAGGTGCCTGGAGGTGGCTTTCTGCTCAGTCCCAGGAAGCTGGCCCTGGGTGAGGTCAGCCTCATGTGGAGGCCCGGGACTATTTACCCCGGTCGGGGTGGGCAGGGAGGACGGCCCCTGGCCCAGGAGGTGTCGCCAGGAAATCCCGTGACTGGCGGGGGCTGGTCCCTGGGCCGCAGCCCCTCCTCTTAAAGGGGCCCTGGGCACGGTGGCTGGGCCTGGCTGGAGGGAGGAGCCGTTTGTCTGCCGGTGTCCGGTATCCGCCCTCTGCCCCCGCCCCCAGGCCGTCTGAGTGGCCGGAGCCGAGTCCCCGCCCGCCGAGGCTTCCTCCCCCGAGCGGTGCCTCCCTGAGAGTCGGTGCCTGAAGCCCAGCGGGACGGGACCACCTGCGGGTGAGTGAGCCATTGAGTGCCCGGAGCCCAGAACAGGCGTCCTGGGTGCCCGTTGCCCCTTGGAACTGCGGGACCCTGGGGCTGGAGAGCCCACCCCACAGTCTCCATCGCATTGTGGGCTTCTCCTGCCCCACATGGTGGGTCACGGGCCGTGCCGGATGAGCTCATTTCCGCCGCGTCGGGTAGCATCTCCTGGCCCTCCAGCCGAAAGGGGAAATGCTGGGCTGGGGCTCCATGTCCCCTCCTGCACCGAGAGCTCTGGGTGATTGCCTCAGTGCTGCCCACGGGGCCTGACCGGCGCCAGTCGGGGAGGGAAGCGGCCCTGTTCCTGGGTGGGACTGGAGGTGTTCCCAGTTCCTCACCCGAGGGGCAGAATGGGGGTAACACGCTGCCCTTCGCAGAGCCCCATCCCTGAGAGAAGGTTCCTTTCTTTGGGAGATTTAAGGAAGCCCAACGCTGTGAGGAGTACCTTCCCCTCCTCCACCTGCCCTTCCCTGGCCACCGGCTTTAAAGAAGCTTCTCTGGGCCCTTCTCTTTGCTTCCTCTTCTCTTGCCCAAAGCTTCCCCAAGATGGCTCGCCCATTTCACCTGGGGAGAATCCATTTTCCCTGTTTCCTCTTCTTGAAGTTTTATCTGCTTCTAGCCCTGGAACGCAGGGAGGAAGGGCTGGTGGCCCCCCTGGACACAGCTGCCTGTGCATGCTTCAGGTGAGCTGGGGAAGAAGTAGGCTCAGAAAGTCAGGCAGGGGGGGTGCCTGGGTGGATCAATTGGTTAAGCCTTTGCCTTCCGCCCTGGTCATGATCCCGGGGTCCTGGGATCAAGCCTCACGTTGGGCTCCCTGCTTAGCCGGGAGCCTGCTTCTCCCTTTCCCTCTTCCCCCCCTCCCCCAACTCCTGCTCTCTCTGTGTCTCTGTCTTTCAAATAAAGACAATCTTTTTTTTTTTAAAGATTTTATTTATTTATTTGACAGAGACACAGCGAGAGAGGGAACACAAGCAGGGGGAGTGGGAGAGGGAGAAGCAGGCTTCCTGCCGAGCAGGGAGCCCGATGCAGGGCTCGATCCCAGGACCCCGGGATCATGACCTGAGCCGAAGGCAGACGCTTAACGACTGAGCCACCCAGGCGCCCCAAGAAATAAAATCTTTAAAAAAAATATAAAAGGAAAGGCAGGTAGACCTAGGACTTGGGGACTCTGAGGCTTTCTGCTGAGGCTTCAGGAGTGACACTGGCACCCAGTGAGAGTTCCACTCGGGGCAAGAGCAAATTTCTCAGTGTCTCTGGCAGAACCTGTGCCTGGCTGCGCCTGGCTGCAAGGCCCTTGGTGCTCAGGGAGTGCTTGTTGGGGGCAGACAGCCCCGACTCTGTCCCTGCCTTCCTGGCCTTGCCAAAACTCAAACCTGAATCCACCAGAGTCCAAGGGAACCAGGCAGGAGCCTGCCTCCCACTAGCCCCCGCCCCCACACCTCTAGCAACCGGTAACTGGCCTGGGTCCTGGGTCAGTCCGTCTGACTTCAGTTGGAATGTTCCATTCCACTGAGGGGGTAGTGTTGCCTTCATCACTGTGAGGGGTAGATGGGGACATTGAGCACTGCTCAGGCGTGAACTCCCAGAACAGGACATCCAGACATAGGTGACCCCCCCCAGACCTGGTCCTGTTGGGCCATTGCTCCTGCTCAGAAGGGCAGCCACTGCCCCCCGTGGTTTGGGCTCTTTCAGAACTGCTGCCTCTACCCTGTTCCTTCCATCTTGCCAGTGGGAGCAAACCTCCGTCCTCCCAGAGGGTGGGTTTGGAAACGGAGGTGAGGTGTTGGGAGTCAGGTCCAGGGGATGAGGCTGCACCAAGGTCTAGGGTGGAAGTGAGGCGTGGTGTCTCTGAACAGAGTAGAGTTCTGGGCCAGGGTCACTGCTATGATCTGAGCCTCGAGGGAGTGAGCAGGAGGAGTGACCCTTCCCATTTTCCAGATGAGGAAACAGCCACAGAGCACCTGTGACTTGCAAGGCCCCTCCCAGCTCTCAGGGCCGGCAGGGCAGCCAGGACTGCAGTAACTGGATTGTCCCCTCCCCTACCAAAGCCTCTGAGCTCTCCTGCACATTGTGGCTTGCCCTTAGGCCTTGTGATAACTTTAAACTCCTACTGGTCACAGCTCACAACTCTTCTCCACAGAGTGTTCTTGAGAGTAGGGAGAGAGGGAAAGTGTCTGTACTTCCTCGCCTCAGGGTACCCTCCTTGCAGGTTCCTTATCTGGGCCTGAGCCCCAGTCCCACTCCGGGGAGCCAGAGAGCGAGCCTTGGCTTGGGCTCTAAGGGTCATCGCAGGTGTGGGGGCAAGTGGGGCACTGAAATGGGGAGGGCGGGAGCACTGTTGGCCTAGGAAGTAGCTCAGCCTTTGGGAAGCAGGAAGGAATGAATGACCCTTAGGGACCCCCTTCCCTCCATCCTGCAGCTTTGAGCTGGACAGAGGGTGCCAGGCCTGTTTCCTGGGGGACAGATGAATTCATTTCTGCTCCCTGGGGACCTTCTGGGGCCCATGCATGGTGATTTGGAAGAAGCCTGACAGTCTGGTCCCTGTCCCATTTCCAAAGAGGAAGAGTGGTGATGGAGACAGGACTGAGGGCTAAGGACATCCTGCCAGCCCTTTGGGGCAGTTTCTAGAGTCTCTAGGATGGCAGCAACTTGGGCCAGCCTCCCTGAACACCCCTGCACTGCAGGAGGAAGGGTGAGGGCCCACCCTACCCTAGCCAAGTCCCTGGACTGGAGGCCCTGGGGTGAATGAAATGGGAGAGGCACCCACAGAAATCTACTTTGAGGACCAGAGGTTTCGGCCAAGCTAGGTTTGTGTATGGGCTCTGGCAGGTGCCTTTCCGGCAGCGTGCTGCGGGGGCCTCTGTCCCGTGTGGTAGGCTAGTGAGGAAAATGGGCAAGAGGAGACGCGGGCTCCCGTCCTCTCCCACAAGGCCTCACTGGCCTCACTGTGAATCCCAGGTGTGCACTCAGTCCAGGCTCTCTAGAGTGGGGGAAAGAGTGCTTGGGGGCCAAGCACCGTGCCTGACCCTGCCTGCCTGTCACACCTTGGCGCTTGTTTCCCTGGGGAGCTGACGGGGCCAGTGTGGGGTCCCGTGGCCTGGTGGGCCTTGGAGGGGCGGGGTGTGGGCTCAGTACGCGGGCGGTATAGTTGAGGTGACCCGACTGTGATGGATGGGAAAGTCAGGAGGCTTAGCATGGGTGGGAGATAGACACGGGGGTGTCCATGGGTCCCTGGGCCTGGCCCCTGGGACGGAGGAGGCTTATGTCCATATGTGCTTCTGGGTGAGCTGGGTGGTGGGCACCGTCCCGCCTGGCTCACCCCCAGTGAGCTGTCCTGCCACTCAGGCGAGTGGCCTGGGGAGCTGATCTCTGCCGGAGGGGTCTGGGCCTGGGGTGGCCCAGGCCTTGCCACTTACTTGGTCGGGGCTGGAAATCCATGCTTACTTTCAGACCTTAGTCTTGGCTCTCACTGCACACTGCACTCCCAGGGATTTGATTCTCCAGGGGCTAGCATTTTCACCTCTGGCTGGGGTGACTTTGCCAGGGCGACATTTCACCCTTGTGTGGGTGGAGCCATGTCCGAGTGGGGCCTCTCGCTCTTGTCAGTCAGTTGGCTGTGTGGGGGGTCAGCATTGGCCTGGGACCGCGTCCGCGGCTGGGTCAGTTCTCTGCCTTGGGAGCTTCTCTTGGGGCCCGAATCTCTACAGCTAAAGATGGTGGCAGGCACCTGTCCCCTGTAGCCTGCAGTTGGGATCGGAGGCCAGGCTGAGTGGGGCCTTGACTATCCCTGGGCTTAGACAGCAACAACCGTGGAATGTTTGTTCTCCTTCCCCTGTTATCTGTGAGGGCCTTGTGGAGGCTGGGCGTATCCTCCCATCCCAGATCGCCAGGCAGGGCCAAAGTGCTGTCCAAAGCAAAGATGGGGGGGGGGGCGCTGGTTTGGGCTTCAGTCCTGGTTGGTTTTCCCTCAGGTCAGGTCATGTGTGTGCTCGTCTGCTGAGGAGGCCTTGTGGGGGTGGGTACGGGGTGGGAGGCTCTGAGGCCCAGGAGGCAGTAAGGAGAGAGCTGGAGCAGGTCAGATGTCCAGCGTCTCTCCCTCTGTGCCTCTCCTGCCTTCCTGCTCTCTCATTCCTCAGATGCTACTTCGGCACCTGAATGGAAAGTGGGTCAGGTTGTGGTGAGGGAGGGGCTGCCCGAGCCGCAGACTGGCCGGCGCTGGGCTCCCGCCTGGAGCACAGGACTCAGATTCCCACTTGTGCTTCTTGGGCTCGTAGGCTCCTGGCCCCTTCCCTGCCATGAGCTCACTGGAGCGGGCCGGTGGCCAACCCCGGGGACAGAGTGGGCGGAGGACAGGGGCTTGTGTCCCAGGCGGCAGGCCCCCCTGCCGCTTCCCGAGCAGGTGTGACCAGTGCCTGTCTTTGCAATAGCCCTGACCTCTAACCTGCGCCCCGTGAGCCAGCGGGACCCAACCACGCCCGGAAGCGGCCCACCAGCCCCCAGGCGGCCAGCCCGAGGAGTGGTGACAGCGCAGGAGCTCCTGGCTTGGGGGGAAGGGAGGAAGGAGGAGAAACAAAGGCGAGTGTGCCTGGCGCCGCCCACCATGTGTCAGTCAGAGGCACGGCGAGGACCTGAGCTCGGAGCAGCGAAATGGTGAGATGCTGCCAGCCCTGTCCTAACACCACTGTGCCCCGCCACAACCTCCGGAAGGTCAGAGTTCACGTCCAGCGGCCCCGCGGTGGAGGTGGCGGCAGGGGGCCAGGGGATCAGCCCCCGAGGCTGGAGGGGCCCGGCCCAGGGGGCCTGAGTCGGAGAGCCCGCTTCAGGTACCTGGGGAGACAGAGCGGGCTGGTGGCCTTCTGTCTGCTGCATCCCAATTGCTGCTCCCAGGCCCCCACCACGGGCTTCCCCCACCACCCCCCCCCAGTTCGGGGAGAGGTGCTGCTCTTCTGGGATTGGTCCCTGGGCTTCTGCAGTGATCAGGGCGGGTGGGGGAAGCCCTGGGGACAGCAGGGATTTGTTCAGCTTTGCTTGGCCCCTACCTCCTTCCCGGACCTTTTGAAAACACGGTGGGGTGGGGTGGGAAAGAAGGAAGACAGAGAGCCTGGTGAGCTGTGGAAAGAAGCGTCTTCCATTGCAGTCATTGAACAGCAGGTGCCCAACCATCAGCTTGGTTCTCCCATTTTTTCTTTTTGGTATCAGCTGAGATGCTTCTTTGTTCCTTGGTTTGTTCAGCAACCTGAGGCAGAGGACACGGCTTCTCTGAGAGCATAAAGGCGCAGATGGGAGCCTTAGATTATCCAGTTGAATGCAGTCTTTTTGCAGATGAGGAAACAGGCCTGGGAACCTTCTCAGTGTGGGTGGGAATGTGTTCTCCTGGTGGCTGCACTGGGCCTCAGGAGCATTTTCTAGTGCCCTCGCATGGGACCAGGGAACTTGGGTGTCACTGTTGTATCTTGGGAGGCCAGGGTTCTGGTGGAAAGGCCCACCCAGCTTCTGAGATCCCCACGAGGCTGAGCCTGTGCTGAATGCACTGAGTTTGGGCTGCTGGGGCCTGGGGAGAGAAAGGAGGAGCCTGGCTCAGGTGTGTGACCCCAGCAGACCTGGGAGGTGGTCTGAGGGCTGGTGGGGAGGTTCCTCCCTCCAATCTCTGGGTCTGTTTTGGAGAACCTGATCTGACGTAGAAAGACCAGGCAGTGGGTGGAGATTTAGCTGTTTGGTGGGCGTGTGTGTGTACAGGTGCACGTTCATGGGGGTTTTCCTTTGGGATCTTGTCAGTCCCAATCCCTTCATTTATCAGATGAGGAAACGAGGCCTAGCGCCAGGAAGAGATTTTCCAAGATCCTGCAGTGCAGTGGTTGCTCCCCGGTTCCTCTCCAGGCAGAGCTGGCCCCACGGGTGGGGGGGGGTGCTCTGATGCAGGCTGTGCACCCCATCTTCCCTGTGCTGCCCCCGATTCCCAGTCCTCCTCAGCTGGTAGGCAGGTGGGTGAGACTGGGATGAGAGTCTGGTGAACAAAGGCAGCGGAGCCCCCGCCTCAGCCTGGGGTTGGGTTGAGGGACCGCGGCTAGTGCTGCCGGACTCCACGGAGAGGCAAGCTTGCTGAGGGTGGGGCGGGGCCTCCCAGACCCTGACCGCTGACCTGGGCCATGCGCGGACATCTGCTCTGCAGGTTGCACTTCCCTCAGCTGGCCCTGAGGCGGAGGCTGGGACAGTTGAGCTGTATGTCCAGACCCGCCCTGAAACTGCGCTCCTGGCCCCTGACGGTCCTCTACTACCTCCTGCCCTTCGGTGCCCTCAGACCGCTCAGCCGGGTGGGATGGAGGCCCGTGAGCAGGGTAAGTGTGTGCAGGCTGTTGGCCCGGCTCCTCTCCGCACGCCAGGGCGGGCCTAAGGTTGGGGTCCCGGACACGGAATGGAGGAGACAGTTGTCAGATTAGAGCTGATGGTGTGGGTGCTGAGCCCTCGGGACGGTCATTTTGACAGGCAAGCTGGTTGGGAAGGCCAGGCTGGTTGGTGGCCCTGAGGCCTTGCTGTGTGCTGCCTCTTCTCCTTGCCTGCATTCGTGCCCTTTGGGGGCTCTGCTTCTGGAAGAGGAACCCACACTGGGCATTCAGAAAATGTGTCTGATTTCCTGTGTTCGGGCAGAAGAGAGCTTAGAGGTGATTTTGAGAAGAATGCAGATTAATTCCTGGATGCCAGAGGGTGATTCAGGAAGGCTGGTGCCTGTTTGGGCCCCTTAGGGTGTTTCTGGACTTGGTAGCCCCAGGCAGGGCTGGGTGAGGGAGCGACCTGGCCGCCGCCCCCTCGAGGGCTGCCCAGCTCCCTGGCCCTGGGCTCTCTGGGCAGGCTGACCCCAAGCAGGGAACCCTGGGTTCTGATGGGCGTCAGCTGGGAAGAGTTGGGGGCGCCACTGACTGAGTTACACCGTAGAGGTGTTTAAACTTGGAATGAAATTGCCTTTACACCCTGGGGACTTGGTGTCTAGGTCGGGCTGACAGGCCCCAGCTGCCAGTTAGAGGCAGGTACTGCTGTGGCGGCAGCACCTGAGGCTTGAGAGGCATCCCCTTCCAGGTCTCCTGGCCCCGAGAGTTTGGCTGGGGGAGGCCCGGCGGGCGGGCTCTGGTGGCCGTGGTACAGCGCATCTGGTGTGGGGGTGCCCTCTGCTTCCTGTTTGGACCGGACGCGCGCTTGGGGCTGTAGACTCCCCTGCGCACCGGGACCCCGGCCCTTTCTGTCGCAGCCCCTCTGTGTGGGGGGCAGAGCCGGTCACGCCCCGCCTCTCCTAAAGAAGGACCACGCTGGCCGGCCTCTCCTTGGGGACGGTGCGCAAAGTGCGTCGTGACTGACGCCCCTGAGTTTAAGTCACTGTGTCGGTCTCGGCCAGTACTCGGTTTGTGAGAGTGTTTGGGAAGCTCAGTCTGGTTCCTAGTGGGCAACACCACATCACAAAGCCGTGGCGGGGTGCCCAGGTCTCCGGGGCCGGGGGGGGGCGCTGGGGGGCACACGGGGCCGTTGTGCATCTGCCTGTCCGTGGCCCGCAGGTGGCCCTGTACAAGTCGGTGCCCACGCGCCTGCTGTCGCGGGCCTGGGGCCGCCTCAACCAGGTGGAGCTGCCGCACTGGCTGCGCCGGCCTGTCTACAGCCTGTACATCTGGACGTTTGGCGTGAACATGAAGGAGGCCGCCGTGGAGGACCTGCACCACTACCGCAACCTCAGCGAGTTCTTCCGGCGCAAGCTGAAGCCGCAGGCCCGGCCCGTCTGTGGCTTGCACAGCGTGGTGAGGCCCGGCCCCGCCCTCCACCCCCCCCCCCCCCCCAATGGGATTCTTGCCCCTGCTGTCTCTGCAGGTGACCCGTGGATACTCCTCCCAGGCTGGGCCCCTGGGGAGGCGGAGACCCTGCCTCCCTAGTAGCAAGCCTTTCTCGGCCCTTCCAGATCAGCCCGTCAGACGGGAAGATCCTGAACTTTGGGCAGGTGAAGAACTGCGAGGTAGAGCAGGTGAAGGGGGTCACCTACTCGCTGGAGTCGTTCCTGGGTCCGCGCACTTCCACGGATGACCTGCCCTTCCCGCCAGGTGGGTCATTGCCTGGTGGCAGCCTTGCGACCCTGTGGCAGCGTGGCTGGGCTGGTCCTCACAGAGGAAGACGGGAATGCATCGGGAGGGAAGGGCCAGCAGTCACTGTGTGGAGCTTTGGGGCCTCCCTGAGGGCTCAGGTCAAGCTTGTCTGAGAGCCGGGCCCTCGTGTCTGCCTCCCACAGCCACCCCCTGCGGCTCCTTCAGGAACCAGCTGGTCACTCGAGAAGGGAACGAGCTCTACCACTGTGTCATCTACCTGGCCCCCGGGGACTACCACTGCTTCCACTCCCCCACTGACTGGACCGTTTCCCACCGGCGCCATTTCCCAGGTTAGCCCAGAGCCTCACTCCTTTTTTGGTGTTGAGGGACCGAGGCTCCACACTTGGGGTGCTGAGACTGGGAGGTGACTGCTTTAGTCTGGCCGGGTGGGGGCGGCAGGGGGCAGCCTGGGGTCTAGCCCACTCAGCATTCGGAAGGAGATGGCTGGACATGGGGCTCTGGGAGGCTGGTCTTCTTGCCGGGTGGGGAATGGCAGTGTCCCTGCCCCCGCAGGCTCCCTGATGTCCGTGAACCCCGGCATGGCCCGCTGGATCAAAGAGCTCTTCTGCCACAACGAGCGGGTGGTCCTCACTGGGGACTGGAAACACGGCTTCTTCTCGCTGACGGCCGTGGGGGCCACCAACGTGGGCTCCATACGCATCTACTTTGACCGGGTAAGCAGAGCCAGGCCCAAGGGCTGGGCCACTTGGGGTCCCCCCAACCCCTTCTCCCGTGGAGCCAGGTCTGTTGGGACTGTAAGTTCTAGAAGGGTGTGTCCCCAGCCAGGCCTGGCCCTGTGGAGCAGCTGCCCTGAGGAGGGGCTGGGCCCTGGGCTCCTGCTCTGCCAGCCCCGACCCCAGATGTGCTGTCGCTTGCTCATCTGGAGATGGCTGGACAGGGAGGGGGTTCACCTCCCAGCCTGCACTTTGCTTCTGCTGGGAACCCAAGGGATACAGTATGGAGCTCAGGGTGGGCCATGCTGATGGGAAGCCGAGCATCTGAGGGGAAGTGGGGGGTGGGGATGCCTTTCTGTGTGTCAGCTTGTGGTTGCCCCTCGCCTGCTCGGGGTGAAGAGTGGGGTCTGATTCCTCTATGTCCCCCCGCCCCCGACGGGTCCCGGTTCACAGCTGCTATTGGAGACTGGTTAGGCTTATGGGCCGAGTCGCTGTCCCCAGCTCCCTTTCCAGGCTGGGTTGGGGACAGGCAGCAGAGAGGCGTTCTGGGTCCAGGAGCAGACCCCACACGCTCTGCCTCGGACCTCCTGCAGGACCTGCACACGAACAGCCCGCGCTACAGCAAGGGCTCCTACAATGACTTCAGCTTCGTGACACACACCAACAAGGAGGGCATCCCCATGCGCAAGGGCGAGCACCTGGGCGAGTTCAACCTGGGCTCCACCATCGTGCTCATCTTTGAGGCCCCCAAGGACTTCAACTTTAAGCTGAAAGCGGGACAGAAGATCCGGTTCGGAGAGGCTCTGGGCTCCCTCTAGAGCCTCCTTCCTGGCGGCTGAGGAAAGCTACTGAGGGAGCTTTCTCAACAGAAACGGGAGGGTCTTTTACGGGGAGCCTCCACGGCTGGGGAGGGGACAGTCTTAGGGCTATGGGGCCCGACCATGTGGGACCTGGCTGACTAGTTCCTGCCGTTCTGAGGTGTGGGTGAGGTCAGAGCCCATGTCGGCCCTGGACCTACGTCGTCCCTCTTCCCACCCTAAAGAGAACACGCAGGCCAAGATCTCAAATTCCCTTTAGGAGATTTTTTAACCTATTGTATAAACTGGAGACCCTACATCTCCTGGCTGGGTGTTCAGTTGGTCTTCATTTCTGTTGTAAGACAGAAGTGGTTATATAAGTTCCTGCTGCTCTCATCATTGCTTTTCAGCCTCCCCTGCACTGACTGGGCTGTGCAGCCCCCGGAGCAGCACCATGTGGCCTTTAACACAACCGCTTTCTGTTCCCAATTCACCCCACTCTGCTCGTTTGGGAAAAGCTGTCTCTTTGCACTTGCAGCTGAACATCCCCTCCTTGACTCCGCCAGCATCACACGAGGGGAACTGATGGCATGGCGCTTGACTGGCCCCAGTGAGTGACCTTCCAGAGCTGGCGAGTCCTCTTTCCAGTAGGCAAGACCAATTATTGGACCCCCGCCCCCCAGTGGTGTCCAGAGTGAATGGACAGGCAGGTAGTGGTGGCCAGGGAGGGGCCGGGGGAGAGCTCGTTCCACCACCCCCCACCCCCCCCATATCCAGACCCACAGAAACATGGTAAGTAAGTTGCTGCTATTGATTCAGGGGCTTGTGTTGGAGGCAGGGGAAGGAGCCTTGGTGTATTGGGCGGGGGGGGGGCGGGTCAGTGCCTACAACACCTGTCCCCAGGTAACAGGTACATGGTCCTTAGGGGGCCACGGACAGTGGGGGCCAGGGTTCAGGTTTCCCGGGGACGCTGTGAATTTCTCCTGCAGGAGAAGCCATTTGAACTCTTTCAACTGTATCAGTAGCACAGTATTTTTGTATGAAAAGTGGGAGACTTCTGACCAGTAATTCATTTAATTGCAACATTTTGAAATAAAAAATAAAACTCATTGCAGCTTTGCGTTCTGTTCCTGGAGGTGGGCTGAGGCCTCCCCGGGGCAGTGACTAGCACAGAGCCCGCCGCAGGGCCTGGACGCGGGCAATGCAGGCGCTGACGGGCTGGCGTTGGGCCTGGAGCACAGAGGCCAGCCGCTGGATCTGCTGCTCCACCTGGGGGATGGGGCAGGGGAGGGGAGGCTGAGCAGAGCCCTGGGGCAGGGAGGGGGAGGGTGAGAAGCCCTTCGAGGGCTGCCTGGGGCCTCACCTCCTGTAGTTCTTCCTGCACCTGCCGCTCTGCTTCCTGGTCCTCCGGCCTGGGCTCCTCGTGGCTCAGCTCCAGCCACCGGCGCAGGCTTCTTGCTTGCCGCTGACAGGACCTGCCCGAGGGAGACACCTGCTGCCAACCTGGCTGGGCCCTTGGCCGCGCGCCTCCAGGTGGGGAAGCAGCGCATCTGCTACTTTGCGGGGTGGCGGTGGGGGGGGGTGGTGGGGCGGGGAGGGCGGTTCTGTTCCCCTGTCGGCCTCCACCACCCAGCTCCGCAAACACCTTGGGTGGGCCTCAGGACACCCCCTCCTCTGCCCTCGCCCTCCCTCCCCCCTCCAAGGACCCTGGCAGTGCGCTCGAGAAACAGCTGGGGTTTTTCTGGGTCTTACGAGAGGTTCTGCTTCATGGTCTGATAGTCCTGCAGTTGCTGCTGGATGCCCTCCAGCTCAGCCTCCAGGTCCATGGGGCCCTTGGTGACAGAACAAGCTCTTGGATCTGGACCACGGTCCCGGCTAGGCCAAGGCTGAGTGGAGGGATCCCAGGCATCGGGAGCGGCCCGAGCACCCTCGGTGCTGACAGGCTTCAGCTGCACACCCGCGCTTACGGAGCCAGGCCTGCCGGTGCCTGAGAAGTCCCCAGGAAGCAGCAGGCGGGAGTGAGGGACACTGGCTGGGGACAGCGAGGCCTGGGCCGTGAGCCCAGGGGTGGTGGGCTGTGCAGATGCCTGTAAAGGGAGGATGGATGAGCACGGAAGCAGGGAGGAAGGCTGGGGGAGAGGCACCCAGGCTGCCCACCGACCAGCTCACCCAGGCCGGGCGCGGCCCTGCCCCTTTCTTCAGACCTGACATGAGGAAGTCCCGTAGGCAGCCCAAGAACACCCCACACCTGTGCGGTCCGGGCCCGTTCCTGTCCCAGGGCCTGGCTCGGCACCGCCCCCGCTCTGAGCTGGGGCCCTGCACTTCAGTGAGGAAAAGCGGTCCAGGGCAACTGTCCTGGGTGGACCACACATCTACAATCCTCCGTTCCCTGCTGGTGACCATCGACCAGCTCTCTGTGGGCATCACCTCTTGGGGGGGCCAACCCTGCCGCTGTCTCCTCTCTTACCGAGCCCTCGGGCCTTCTTGCACCCCCTTGCCATCTGTGCCCAGGCTCCTCCATCTGGCTGTCACATGCCCCGGGGAGCCACCGCCCCCCTCCTCCCAGGAACGATTCTCTTCGGTTCCCAGGGGTTTACCTTCAACGATGACATCTCAGAGACTCAGTTTTGCTCTCTGGCCCTGACCTCCTCCCCGAAGGCCACACTCAAGAGTCTTGTTGCTTTATCCCAAATTGGACAGGTTCAAGACAGACTCCTCAGGCTTTACCCCAGACAGGCCTTTCCCCCCACCCCCCGTTTTCCCTCTTTCCTTAAAGAACTCCTTATTCCTGGAGTTATTCAAGCCAAAAACCCAAGAGCCATCCTGGATTCCTTCCTCACCCTTCTCAAACCCATCGGAGCAGGGCCTGCCTAGTCTGCCTCCCACGAGGGGCTCTGCCCGCAGCCCAGCCACCACCTAATCCTGGCTCCCGGCACCTGCTGGCCCATGGGATCACAGCTGCCCACCGGCCCCCACCACTTTCTACTTAAAATCCAGACACTTCCCCTGGGCCTGTTGGGACCCTCCATGATCTGCAGTGTCTTCATCTATGTCCGGGGTTCTTCTTTGGTCTCCACCTCTGGGACATAAGCTTCACAAGTGGGGGCCTCAGCAGCCTTTCCCTACTGTGTCCCGAGGACAGGGGCGCCTGCACTTGGTGAAGGCATGAGTGGCCTCCCCGCACCTTCCCGAGCCGGCAGTGCTCTTGGAAGCAGCGAGTGTGTGAGGAAGAGCACCGAAGGCCAGACCGAAGAATGAGACCCCAGGTGACCAGGAGGACTTACCCTGGCAGGCGCCTGCACCCCACATGGCATGAAGGACGAAGGGGGCAGCAGCTCTGGGCCTGTATTCAACGTGGGGGGCAGCTTCGGGCCAGGGTGACCCGGCAGGGCCCCGGGGTGGGGCAGGGCGCTGCTTGGGACCAGTGCTGTCCAGGCCACTGGCAGGAAAGGCCTCCTCAGGGCAGGGCCTGCAGGCTGGGCCACACCCGGGTCGCAGGCCCTCAGTGCCTCAGGCCTAAGCAGAAGGACGGCAGGAGCTGGTCAGGCCGCAGCATCCGCCTGAGGAGCAGGAAGGAAAGGAGGCCACCCACCCTAGGACCACACAGCATACCCTTTCCCCCCGAGGGTGCCACACCCCAGGGGCCTCTGACTCGGCACCGGCTCCAGCAGGAAATGTGGGCGTCGAGGTTGCTTTCTTGCCAAGCGGGCAGCATTGCTGGGAAGAAACACAGGCCTGTTCCTCTCGGCTACCTGGGGCATCCAGTCCGGCCCCCTCCAATCTTACAGGGAAACTGGGGGCCAGAGAAGGAAAGGCCCTGGCCCAAGGTCAGCAGGTGAGCTGGAGTGGGCCTAGGCCACAGAGTACTTCCAGTAATTCCAATGAAGAGAGCCCGATGCCGTGGGGATGCCTCGGCCACCTCATTTCATCTGACCTCTGCAGCCACCCAGTGACACAGGTGCTCTTCCCACATCAGAGGGGGAGCGGGCTCATCGGGGTCAGGCCCTGTCGGGGTCCGGCGGCAAGGGAAGCGGAGCAGACTGAGGCCCAGGCCAGTCCCCCACCCCAGTGGTGACCTCTCCGCCAGGCTCAGGCAGTGCTCGTCACTCTGGGAGCCTACAGCTGCATCAGCCGGGTCTGTGGGGACGGGCCAGGTCACGAACAGCGGGGCTTCCTAGAGGGAGCCCATTTCCTGGCTGGAAGGGGAGAAGCAGGGAGACTGGAAAGGTCTAGGGGCATGAGGGTGGGGCTGCCCTACAGCTGATTACTTTTTTTTAAAACTACATGTTCTCTCCCCCACATGCTGCAGGTACAGAGGCTGAGGTCCCTTCGGTTGGGCTTGATGGAATGGGAGGGACAGGGTCCTGCTGGAGAAAGGGGTCCACGCGGCTCAGCTGTGACCCTCCCTCCTTGTGTAGTCCAAGTTTTTACTCCAGGCAAGAAGCAAGGAGAAGAGGCGAGGGATGGGCTACTCACAGCTCTAGGAGGTAGGGGTCCCCAGCAGCCAGGGACAGGCTGCCCAAAGCTCCTCGGGGCCCATGAGGATCTCGTGGCTTCTTGGTCTCCAGGGCGGCATCCCCAGCCCCAGCCTCGACACAGGTGGAAAGGGGTCTGTCAAACGTCACTTTCCTGCTGGGCATGGTGCATGTGAGGGGCCGAGGCTCCCTGCCCTGGCCCAGAACCTTCTGTTTCCAGAGCATGGCACAGCGATGGACCGCACGGTGGAGACTGTGAGCCGCCTGCAACAGGCCTCTGGTCAGGTCCTGCCGTATCCTACCCACTCCTCGCGAGAAGGGATGGGGGAGCCCTCACCTGCACCTGCTGCTGGGCATGCAGCTGCTGCCGGAAGGCCTTCATGCCAGCTGCGAACCGCAGGAGGCGCGTGGCGCCCTCCTGGAGAAGCTGCCGGTGGTAGGCCTGTATGGCCTGCTCCTGACGCGCCTTCTTTCTCCTCCTTTCCAGTACAAAGCCCAGCCACGCGGCCCACACCTCCAGGGGGAGGAGGAGATGAGGCCCAGTTCTCCCTGCTTAAGCCTCCCCCCGCCCCCTGGAGCTGTCCCCATGACCCAGCCTGCCCTCCACTGAGGCGAGGTCCTTTCCTGGGAGAGGCAGGCACAGCAGGGGGCGGAGGTCCCGTTACCTTTGCCTGTAGTGAGAAGGACCAGAACCACAGGGCCCGGGCTGTGCCCTGCTGCTCGCGCCTCCTGTTCGCCAGCTATGGGCCGGAGAGAGAAGATCATGGAAGTTTTGACCTCAGGGAGGCTGCTCTGACCACGGGGTCCTGGTCACTCTGAGACCCTTTTCTAGCAAGGTGCTGCCCTCCCTCCACTGGGAAGGGCCCAGCGCTGCCCGGTCCTGAAGTGGTGGACCAAGGAGTGTGCCTCTGGGAAGAACAAAGGCAGAGCCCCGGGGACGGGAGCCAGCGGGGGCAGCGTGCTGGGCATGACGCAATCCTGCCTGGTGTTTTATCACGTCCTGGGCGAAGGCTTAAAATGCATTCATATTAATTTTTGGAAATAACCCTAAAGTATATTTTAATGTGACACTGTAGAAACAGGGCCCTGAAGTGCCTTGGGCTTGTACAGGTCACAGGTGGAAGGAACCGGGCAGTGCCGGGAAATGACTGGGGTTAGGGGAGCCCTGGGACGAGGGTGGAATTAAACATTTTAAATGTAGGGGGGCGCCTGGGTGGCTCAGTCAGTGGAGCATAAGACTCTTGATCTTGGGGCTGTGAGTTTGGGCCCCATGTTGGGTGTAGAGATTAAATAAATAAAAATAATAAAAAAGTTAAACGTGGGTTCAGGAAGCAGTAGGAGGGGGAAGGGGCTTCTCGCTGGCTCCCACCTGTTGTTTCCACTGGCAGAAGCAGGCCCGGCTGCGGGTCTGGGCCAGGAGCTGGGCACCCTGCCTCTGCAGGAGCTGGGGAGAGAGCAGCTAAAAGCAGTCAGGGCCCTGTGTGCCAATCACCTGAGTGCAGCCTCGGGTGAGAGGCTCCGGGCCCAAGAGAACTGTCCTCCCATCGCCAAGAGGAGTCTTGGACGAAGCCAAGGCCTCCTGTAGGAGCATCAAGGTGACTCTGGAGGCCCCCCAGCTCTGACACCCCATGCTTCAGGATGAGCCAGGTTTCTCTACTGGGCCACCTTTTGCCTGGAGGAGACCCGACCCAGAGGCTGGCTTCCCTCAGCCTTCCCAGAAAGGCCCCTGAAGCCTTGTGCCTGCAGGACCCCAATCACCCAGCATCCTGGCGGTCACGGGTTTTGCCAGAGAGCCCTCCTCTTCCCCAGGTGGTGGTCTCCTGCCTGGGAGCCACTGCCTGCCTCACCCGCTTCCTGACACAGCCCAGATGGTGCGCCTTCCACCATGCCATGGCCTGCAGCAGCCGCCGCCGGCCATGATGCGCAGCCGCCCTCCTGAGCTGGGCTCTCTGCTCGGCCGCCCTCTGGCCTCGGTCCCGCCAGCGCCGAAACCACGTCCTGAGACAGCCTAAGGCAAATCCGAGTCAGAGGTTGCTCTTATGGGAGGGTTTCTCCGAACCAGTCTGCAATGGTCAAGGTTTGGAGTGCTGAAAAGGTCATGTGGGGGTAGAGCTGGGGTGTCAGCCCACACTCGGTGAAACAGCCACATGGGGACGGTGGCCACTCTGTGACATCAGCTCTGGCCACCTTCAGTGGCTGCAAGCACCCCGGGGGCCGGAACCTGGGCTGCTGTGCCCCCAAGGGTGGGCCAGAAGCACCAGGCTGTCCACGGTGGCCACATGTCTGCAGCGCCCCCCCGCGGAGCGGCCCGCAGGATGCTGCCGGACACACAGAGGAGACCCTCTGTCCGAGGGAGTGGGGGGCCATGGCCCTATTTGGCCAGAGAGGAAAACCAAGGCTCAGGGAGTCCAAGCAGCTCCAGCCAGGCCTAGGGGAAGGCACGGTGTCTGCTGGGCTGAGTCTGATATCCTGGGCTCTGCAGGCAGGCAGAGGCTACGGCATGCATTTTGTTTCTGTGTCACCAGATTCTCTCTTGAGGGAAAGCAAGCACTTTCTGCTGTTTTTCAAGAGGGTTGGTACCCGGGCACTGATACCAAGATGGGGTGTCCTCCGGGGCTTACTGGAGGGGGCAGGGAGGGCAGGTTTGCACACCTGGAGGCAAAGCCTTAGGACCAAGTGCTGATGCTTCCTGGATACTGCTTCAAGTGGGTACCTCTCACTGGATCCTTACCACAACCCCAAGAGGCAGGTACTATTATTCCCATTTTACAGATGGAGAAACAGATTCAGAGAGGCCTTGCTGGGGCCGCAGAGCCAGCATCTGACCCTGCCTGTACCAGGCTCTCTGTTGAATGTGTCTTACGAGACGTCGCCCTGAGCTCGTCCTCCTCCAGCACCCAGCCCCACCCCTGGGCTGCCAAGGCGTGCCTGAGACTCGAGGCCTTAACTAAGCCCAGAAATGGTTCCACAGGTACTGAGTGCACATCTGCTATGTGCTGAGAACACTGTCTTGCCACATGGTCTCGCAAATCCTTTGTACCACCTGTACCAGACACAGCAATCCCAGGGCCCGCCAGGTGCTACCACCGCCTTCTACGGAAAGCTGCCTGCCCCTCGGTCCTGCAGAGAGAAGCAGCTCCAGGCTGCACCCCATGCCTGTCACCTCTAGCACCCGCTGTGGCCGCCTGACCCCCCAGTGGCAAGGCCTCTGCAGTGCTGGATGCCAAAGCTCTGTCCAGAGGCCACGGAATGGGCTGAACCCCTCAGCTTCTCTCTTGGGAGTGACCTGGAAACACAGCACTGGTTTCTGGGGTGGGGGGCAGCTTGAGGACACAGAGAAGCCCATTAGGGGTGGAGTAGGTGTGGGATGTTTGACCCCACAGTTCTGTCTAGAGGAAAGCAGAGATGTGTGTTTAGCCACGTAAAACACTATAGTCAGAACCAAACCAAAGTTGATCATTTTTTGTCCTGGAGCAAACAACTTGATCTGTTTTCCCTATGGTCCGATTTAAACCATTCCTGTTTGTTTTCATTTCCGGTTGTATTTTCATTTATTCTAACCACTGGCTGTCCTCTCATGTCCCTACTGCAGGGCCATAGGCCTCAGTTTCCCTGCATCTCATCTCTGCTCCTGTCTGGACAGTCTTCCCCAGGCTGTTTGTATAGCAGGGAGTCAGACTGTCCAAGGCCACTGCTCCCTGAACACACAAGGGCCCGGCTACACAAGGAGGCAGACACCCCTCAACCTGACTCCTTCGTAAGAATCAGATATTAAGCCTCGGTCTTACATTTGGACATCAACTGGTTGGCACCTGGCTGGGAAGAGAATGCTATGATGCACTGGATTGAATGGTTACCCCTCCCAAACCCAGAACCTCATCCTGAACCTCAGAACTGTAGTCGGCAAGACGGTCAGTGCAATCAGCTGACACCATCCTGGGGGAGGACTGGCGGCCTTCTAAGAGAGACGCAGACACAGGGAAGACAGCCCTGTGCCCACAGAGGCCGAGGCTGGAGGGATGGGTCTGCAAGTCAAGCAACACCAAGGACTGCCGGGGCTGTCAGGGGCTGGAAGAGGCCAGGAAGGATTCTCCACTCCAGCCCTCACAGGAATCCTGCTGACACCTGGTTTCGGACGTGGCCTCAGAACGCCGAGAGAACAATTTTCTGCCGGTGGAAACCTCCCAGTTCGTGGCACTGTTATTTAGCCACAGGAAACTCACACGCATGAGAAGAATACAAAGACTGAGGTAGAGCAGATGGAACACAAGACAGTTCTGTGTCCTTCACAGCCCTCTCCCCGGCTGCCAGGAACTCCGCTTACCCTTATCCAGCACCTTCTGGGCCTCCTTGATGGCACAGTCCTCCTGCTGTCGGTAGTATATCTGCACGGATGCAGCCTCCCGCCACTGCACCAGGACCTAAGGGGCAGATGAAGGGCACATCCTGACTTCCCAGGACGCCCAGCTCTACGGGCGGCTCCTCACGGAACAAGGCCAAGCGGGGACATGGCACTCACACACATTCTGGAAAACGCCGGCCAGCCCGCAGACCCCAGGCCACAGACCCAGTCCCCGGTCCCCACAGGAGGCCCAGTATTGCAGGCAATGGACTGTTCTACAGAAGCAGTTAAACTTCCAAGCACGCCATCAAGAAGTCAAGGCATCACATGGACTTTTGTTCTGTTATTACGTGTTAAACGGAACTATATGTTACACGCCTGCAGCCTTTCAAACTGAGATACACAAGAAATCACACTAACAGAGCACTTTAAAAAGAAGTCAAGCAGCCGGGGTTGCTGCTCCCCGGCTCCTGAGGCACAAACTCCATTCCCTGCAAAAAAAAAAAAAGGCCTCCGTTCCGAGCCCTGAGGCCAAGCAGAGTCCCGAGTCCCGACCCTCCTTCCAGGGCTGGCCCCGGAGCTTTTCCGACAACAGACTAGGCCTTGATTTGAAGTCACAGTTCCTCACCCTCGGGAGGCTTCCGAGTTGTCAGGACCAGTCTCCCCCCGCCTTCCAGCAGGAGAACCGCTGCTGTTCAGAGCTCCTGGCGTGACGCTTTGCTCTAAAACAGCCGCCGGTGCAGGGACCACTTCTGTCCCTTCATTTCTGAGTACCCCCTGGTGGGTAACACCCCTTCCTCCCGCAGTCGTGTGCTGGCACGCCCCCCCTCCTCCGGCGCATAGGACAGGCCCCACCATGCGGCCTTTGGGGGCCACTTCCCATGGATGACGACCAACAATCTCACGTTCCTGGAGTGTACAAGCAGGAGTGCGCATCCTCCGACAGACTGAAGAGACGGAGGGGCACGCTTAGTTTGTCCCAGTGGGGAATTCCACATGTGTAGGAAATACTGGTTCTGATAAGAACCAGTCTGCTCACTATGTTTTTGTTTTGATGGATATTGGTGCATAATCCAGTAAAAAAATAAATAAAACCCTACTGCTCACATGGCTGTTACGTGTGCATGGAGGAGGGTGAGTGAGCCCACGTCCTGGGTTCCTCGTTCAGTGCCTAGCTTTGGGGCCACCCCCTCGCAGCAGCAAGGTCCCAAGCCCTCCTGGGCGACCAGCTGGTCTCCGCATGCCTCACCTTGGAACACAAGGTTCGCCGGTAGTGAGCGCTTGCTCGGGAGGTTTGCTGGGCTTCAGCCACACGGGCCAGGGTGTTCTCTCTCCAGCGACGGAACACACACCTGCGGGAACACAGGCCGGGGAGATGGGGTGACACCAGTGCAGAGAGACAGGGGGAGGTTTCCAGTGAGTTGTTCCTGCTTCTTCAGCCCACTAGTGCCTCAATCGAGGATGGACTCCTCGTACCTGAGAACATCAGTCTCACCAAGAGCCACGTTTATGACAACACAGACAACACACGGCTGGTGAGCACCCGCTCTGTGCCAGGCACTGGGGGAGCACCAGGGGCACCACGGTGAACAAGGCCAAATACCACGTCCTCACGCACGTACGTGCCATACAGCAGGGACCAGGTAGTGACGGTACAGGCGAGTGATGCCGCAGTAAGGCACAGAGAGACGGGAGGTGGCAGAAGGCCACCGGAGCCCCAGCACCGTGCTTGCTGCTGAGTTAGTTCCGTCACTCTGTCTTTCTCACTCCCAGTGTCTGAGGAGCTGCATGGGCACTCCCCGAAGGAGGGTGTGGGTGTTAAGTCCACAAGGCCCACCACCCCCAGGCAGCCTGGAATACCATGTGCTGAACAAATCCGGAGGGAGGAAAAGAGTGGAATGAGGGAGGCCTGCCGGGAAGGAGAGAGAGCGAGCTTGGTTTAGCAGGAGCTAGACGACGGGCTCCTGATGGAGCTGGAGCGGGAGCTGAGAGAGCGAGTGACCTCCAAGGCTGTGGGAGATGCCTCTGGAATCCATGAAAGGCCTGGACAGCCAAGCTGGGAGGCACCTGAGTGGGGGCTGAGGCAAAGGGAGTCCCTGCAGCTCTGGAGCAGGAGACATGGAATCGTGCAGGGGAGGGCACAGTGTCGAGAGGAGCAGGACAAGAGGGAGCTCGCGCACATGTCCCAGTGACAGCTGCCTCCGCAAGGCCCCAGTCTGCACACAGCAGCTTGGAGACAGGCGGTGACCCAATGAATGGAGCGCTTGCTGTGCAAAAGCCCAAGCCAGGCTGCGAGCAGCACAAGGAGCCAGGCCCGCCCGCCCTCTGGCCCCGGTCAGGACGCCCAGCCCTGCCTGGGTCTGGACGGAGCGCCGCGTTCCTCAGCCAGGGCCGGGACACACGGGGGCACTCACCGAAGCAGCCGCCTCCCGTGCTGCCTCTCCCTGGCCGCCACCTCCTGGAGGACGCTCCGCACGCGGCTCTGGTACGTCTGCAGGAGACCGAGGGGACTAGTGGCCGGCCCCGCCCGTGTCCCTCCGCAGTCCCGCAGCGCTCACCCGGGAGCGCGCCGAGTCCCACGGCCAGAAGAGCACCCACCCGGACAACAGCGAGGGGACGCTCTCGCTGAGTCCTCGCTCATAAGTCAAGCCACTGGGCTCCTGGACAAGGGGCCGCTTCGATGCGGAGGCTGGTACCCCCCGACTCATTTTTGCTGTGCCGAGCAAGGCTACAGGGGGTGAGACCCGCTGTCCGGGGCACGCGCTCTGGGAGGGGCAGGGAGAACAAGGGAGGGACACAAAGTCCCCACCGCCCCCCGAGCCCCGCCCGAGGCCAGCAGCCGCCCGTACCGCCCAGGTGCGCAGCGCCCCGCGCAGCAAGGTGCGCCGGTGATGCAGACGGGCGCGCGTCAGCTTCCGCCGCTCGGCAGCGCGCAGGGCCAGGCCCTGCGGACAAAGGGAGGGAGGGGGGAGGGAGGGGGCCGGGAGGGGCTCAGCCACGCCTCATCTTGCACCCGTGGGGTCCTCACCCCCCACCCCCAGGCCTCATCTAGCAATAGGTATCTCTCAGGGGTTTTGTGGGGATCTGATGGAACAAGTGCCTGACTTGGGGTAAATGCTCAAGCATTTTTACCCTGAGTAGAGTGCCTGCAAATGGTTAGGCCAGGACTTTTAGGTTCAGTGAGTTCAGACCAGAACCAGAAGGACATGGGATTTTGAGCCAGTCACCTCATGTCACCAGGTTAGTGCTTGCCCCTGTGCCGCCCAGCCTGTCTCCCAGGCTCAGAGGCAGGTGGCCGCCGTGGGGCTGAAGCCAGGCCCACGTGTCTACTCAGAGTCACGCTGACACACAGCCCCACCTGTCCCCAACCACGTGAGGTGGCGTCTTTGCAAAGCCTTACCTCCTTCCACCTGTCCCAGGCCCAGTGCAGGATCCGAGCCGAGTGGAACTCTGCAGCCAGCACCAGGCCGGTCTTCCTGTGGGGAGGGCTGAAGTCAGCACTGCAGCCTAGACCGGGCCAGGGCCCTTTCGATGGGCACCCCTCACAGTCCCTGGCCCCTGCCTAGCTGTTCTTAAACTGGTGGGGAGGGAGGAATCAAGACCTTTTCTGGGGGCACCTGGGTGGCTCAGTCGTTAAGCGTCTGCCTTTGGCTCAAGGTCATGATCCTGGGGTCCTGGGATCGAGCCCTGAGTCGGGCTCCCTGCTTAGCAGGGGAGTCTGCTTCTCCCTTCCCCTCTGCCCTTGCTTGGGTGCTCACTCTTTCAAATAAATAAACAAACTCTTAAAAACAAACAAACACCTCCTCTGAAGAGTGCCAAAGGATTTGGGCTCTCCCCTCAGGAAAGTGAGCACCTAATTAAATTCTTGCAGCCAACCTGACAGGGCTCAAGTACACTGAAGTACATTCATGTGCTGGCGACTCAGGAGATTAAAGGGGGCCGGAATTTGAGTGGGGGAGATCTGCACAGCACAAAGTGGATGCAGAAAGGCCTGAAAGCAGGCCAGGGTGGGCAGTGTCCGTGTGGGCGGCCTGCCCCGCCCTCTCTCCAACCACATGGTGTGGTAAAAACTGCCACAACCTGCCCCTGGGCCACAGCTGCTGGTCCTGGGGGCTCAGCTATCCTGAAACGGGCTCATCAGTCTATTCCCTGGCCATGGTCACTCTGAATGGGCCCCAGTGAGTGGGACGCATCCAATGGGTAGGACCTCAGATCCATGCAGCATGTCTGTCCCTAGTCGAGTTCCTGAGGCTGGGAGCTCCATGAGGTACCCCAGGATCCTCTCACTACATCCCTGCTTTGGTATAGACTGTATCAGGCAGAATTTCTGGAACTTAGAACCAGAGTTTTGGCTAACACAACCCTCCGACGGGCACTCAGAGCTGAGGGTGCTACCACTATGGTCAAAGCTGGCCCGAGAGGGGAAGAGCTTCTGGGGCAGAAGCAGCCCCTCACTCTGTTCTGAGGCCTCGGGCGCTGTCCCTCCAGATGCAGAAAGCCCTCCTGAGCTGACGGTGGCGGCGGTGGGCCCAGGCCGCTGCTGTCCACTGTCGCTCCTGGTGACGTGCTGCTGCCTGCTGGTGCCACGTGGACCAGGACCTCTGTAGGAGCTGCTGCTCTGAGTGAAGGATGGCCTGGGGCAGGATGGCGGGGAGAGAACAGAGTGGGTCAAGCAGCTGGGGGTACAGAAGCCAGGAAGAATCTATAGGCCACAAATACTGACCAAGGCAAAAGAAATGGGCGTTACAGAGCCACCCTAGCCCAGAAGCCATATGTAAACTGACAAAGGCAACAGATGCCCCAGGCCCTGCCCTGCCTCGTGAGTCCTGGTCATAGGCAGGACGCCCCATAGTGTGGGTCTGGGCTCTGGGCGACATCTCGAGCAGAGGCGGCAGTGAGTGCAAAGCTTGAAGCAGGTCCTGCCCGCTCCAGGCACCTCCTCAGGGACGGCCACTTACCATTCTCTCCGCCAAGCGGTTTTCTCGATGCTGAAACATCTTCTGCCACCAAATAGCAAATACTTGCTTCTCCAACGTCTCCCTAAAAAGATAAATAATAATAATAATGGGAAATAAGGCACTTAAAACAAAATCACTACAAAAAAGAATGAGAAGTCCCAAATAATTGGGTTTTTCCTCTTAGGCTATGAAGAGGTGGATACATTGAGATGGAGAGAAAGGAAAGAGAAAGGGAAGGAAAGCAGACAGCAGTGGGCAAAAAACCCCCACAAACAACCCAATACTCTTCAAGTTCTTTTCGGTGTCAGCCAAGCATTCACACAGTAAGAATGAGACTGACTTGGAGACCCTGGCTCTTCATCAGTTCAGTTCTGCACTGAATTACCAGCAGTGCTCAATGATCAGTAGTGAAAGCCTTTCTAGTCCGTGCTGACTGGCCAGGCTGCTGCTACCCAAATCCTTGGGGAGAGCGGTTAAAAACAGAGGCCACGTCTCCAGGGCTGACTGCGTAGGTCTGAAGTAGGCCCCAGGAAACAGTATTTAAAATAAATGTTCCATGTGAGGTAGACAGGGAGACAGGTTTGAGAACCACTGTTCTGTCTCCTCTGCCTCGGCCTCCCTGCTCAGCATGACGAGAAGGCCTGCAAAGGCAGCGCCGGGAAAACTGGTCAACAGCCACTACGGGCTGTGCGTTGGCAAAACCATGGGACAAAATATATGCGGCAACTGTTTTCAGGCCCTGGACAAGAGGCAACACAGACTGTGACTCTCAGAGTTGAGAAACAAGGTGAGCCCCCTGAGGGCACGTTCTAAACACCTGGGGCAGGGGGACAGAGTCCAAGCAGAGGATAGTCTCACTGAGTTGAGGCAGAGACTCAGGGGTTCAAGACTGAGTCCTTCCCCTGAGTTCAAGATTGCAGGGGAAGGATTGCATGGACACCTGTGGCCTTCCTGAACCTGGGCAGGTAGAGACCTCGCCCTCCTTCAAAGGCACACTCACATACACCTTGCATATTCTGCAAGGGCAGTACCCAAAATTCCGTGTGAGTCTGCCCAGTTGGCAGTACAGGCAGGTTCTGTGAGGCCTAGCAGAGTGGCCTCTTCAGGGCTGACTGCTGGATGGAGATTACCAGAGGCTGGAAAGGGCTGGGAGAGGGAGTTCTGGCCCAGTCTGAATGGAGAGACTTTGCTGAGCACCCCAGAATTCAGAAAGGCTGAGCCTCAGGAATAAGCACCATGCCCTAACTCTGAAGACAAAAATCAAAAAAGACCTACACGTGGAATGCCCGGTAGAGCATGCACCCCATCTCAAGGTGCAACTCTTGATCTCAGTGTTGTAAGTTCAAGCACTGCACTGGGTGTAGAGATTATTTAAAAAATAAAATCTTAGGGGTGCCTGGGTGGCTCAGTCGGTTAAGCGTCTATCTTTGGTTTGGGTCATGATCTCGGAGTCCCGGGACTGAGCCCTGCATCGGACTCCCTGATCAGTAGGGAGTCTGCTTCTCCCTCTGCCTCTCATCCCGTTTGTGCTCTCTCTCTCATTCTCTCTCAATAAATAATCTTTAAAAAAAAAAAATTAAATCTTAAAACACACACACACACAAAACCCAAAGAAAGAATAGAACCATACTCGATAGGATCAACAGGAATCACCAGAATAAACAGTAACCACTGCCTTACAGAATAAAATGCAAAACCCTTTAAAGGAAAAACAGCTGTCAACAAAAACAATGACCCAAATGTTGGAGTGAGCAAACACTTAAAAACAGTTATTAAAGTTTGTGTACTTAAGTGAAGGATTAACAAAATTAGTTACCAGACACGGAATCCTGGCAGAGAAATAGAAACTATTAAAAAGAACCAAATGATTTGGTGGCTCCTCAAAAAGCAAACACAGAATTAGCATTTGATTTAGTAATTCCACTTCTAGGTATACAACCAAAAAAATTAAAAGCAGAGACTCAAACAGATGTATGTATATTGATCACAGCAGCATTACTCACAGTAGCTAAAACGTAGAAACAAGTGTCCATCAACATACAGACGAACAAATTGTGGTATATCCATACAATGGAATATTATTCAGCCATAAAAAGGAATGAAATTCTGATACATGCTATGACATGGATAAACTTTGAAAACATTACGCTAAGTAAAATAAGCCAGACACAAAAGGTCTAATATTACACAATTCCACATATATGAGATACCCAGAATAGGCAAATTCAGAGACAGAAAGTAGCTCAGAGGTTCCCAGGGCTGGAAATAGATTGAAATGGAAAGTTAGTATTTAATGGATACAGAATTTCTATTTGGGATGATGAAAAAGTTCTGGAAATGCATAGTGATGATGGCTGAATATTGCAAATGTACTTTATGCCACTGAACACACAATACACTTAAAAATGACTAAAACGGTAAGTTTTATGTTATGTATGTTTTACCACAATTAGGGGGAAAAAAAAAGAAAATTCTAGAACTGAAAAGTACCATAACTGAAGGAGAAAAATCACTGGATGAGTTACAAATAAGAAACTGCAGGATATAGATCACTGAAGACTTTCTATTGAAAGATCAATAGAAAGTATCCAATCTGAAAAACGGAAAGAAAAATAGAAAAAAACTAAACAAAGCCTCAGTGACCCGTGGGACAATATCACTGGTTTAACATAGTGTAATTAGAGTCTAAGAAGGAGGGAAGAGAGGATGTAGGGCAGGTAAGTTGTTTTTTTGAGAGAGAGAGAGTGCGCGCATGCGTGTGCATGGGGGAGCACAGAGGAAGGGAGAGAGAGAATCTTAAGCCGACTCCATGTCCAGCATGGAGCCTGATATCATGACTCTGAGATCATGACCTGAGCCTAAATCAAGAGTAGGACACTTAACTGATTGAGTCACTCAGGCGCCCCAGGGCAGATAAATTATTTAAAGAGATAATGGTGGGGTGCCTGAGTGGCTCAGTCAGTTAAGCGGCTGCCTTCGGCTCAGGTCATGATCCTGGGGTCCTGGGATTGAGCCCCGTGTCGGGCTCCTTCCTCAGTGGGGAGCCTGCTTCTCCCTCTCCCTCTGCCACTCCCCCTGCTTGTGTGCACTTTCTCTCTCTCTTTCCCTGTCAAATAAATAAAATGTTTAAAAATAAGATAAAATAAAAATAAAAAAATACAAAATACAAAAGGTATAGAGTTAAAAAGTCAATGGAGGAAATAAAATGTAATACTAAAAAATTCTAAGTGAACAGGGCAGAAAAGGAGAAACAGAGAAACAAAAATCAGATGTAGGCTTCGGCCCAACCACACCAACAACTACTCAAATATAAATGAACCACACACTCTAATTCAAAAGCAGAGATTATCAGGAATGCCTGGGTGGTGCAGTCAGTTGAGTATCTGACTCGGATTTGGCTTGGGTTGTGATCTCGGGTGTCGTGGGATCAGGCCCCGAGCTGGGCTCCACACTTGGTGTGGGAGACTGCCTGGGAGACTCTCTCTCCCTCTCTCTCTACCCTTCCCAACCCCTTCATGCTCACTTGCTCACTCTCTGTCTCTCAAATAAATAAATCGGTAAAAAAAAAAAAAAAAAAATAGAAATTGTCAGACTAGATAAAAAATTAAGACATAGCTATATGCTGTTTACAGGAGGCAAGCTTTATTAAATATGAAGACAAATAGAGTGGGAAAGGTAAACCACATAAACTGTAAATACAAAAAAAGCTGGTGAGGATATTTTAATAAAAGTCCAAGTAGACTTTGAGAAACGAAATATTACCAAATATAAGGAGGTTCATTTCAAAATGATAAAAAGGGACAATTCATGAGGAAAACATAACAATCCTAACTGTACATGGACCAAATAACAGATTCTAAACACATGAAGTAAAACTGAGAGTATTACCAGGAAAAATAGATAAATCCATAATCATAGCTAGAGAATTTTAATACTTCTCTCTAGTAACTGATAGAACAAGCAGACAAACAAAAAACCTATAAGGGGGGGGCGCCTGGGTGGCTCAGTCAGTGGAGTGTCTGCCTTCAGCTCAGGTCATGATCCTGGGGTCCTAGGATTGAGCCCCATATTGGGCTCCCTGCTCAGCGGGGAGCCTGCTTCTCCCTCTCTCCCCCCCACCCCTACTTGTGCTCTATCTCTCTCTCAAATAAATAAAATCTTTAAAAAACAAACACCTTGTCTGAGGAAAGCATCTGCATCCTAGAGACTGACTGGAAAGCCAGGGCTCTGAGTGAACACGCTAACCTCTGCCTCTACAGTTCTCCTCCTGCCTGCTCCTACCTACAGGTCCTGGGCCTGAGCCACGGCCTCCAGCCCAGCCATTCCACCTGCAGACGGGCTGCCCCCCACCGCCCATGTCCTTCTAGCCTGCCCATTTCTCCTGCCTAATGGAGTTTTGTGCAATTTGGAGTTTTTCCATGAACTGAGCCTTGTATTAAAAGAGCCTTTAGGAGATTTATGTTAGAAACCAAGGACCTCTGAACAGGTTTTTCCTTCGATCCCAATACAAAGATTTATGGACCTTTCTAGTTGACTCAGATTTGTGGATGGCTTCTCCTCCTTTCCTATTCTACATTCTTAGTCCTATATATATATAATAGTCCTATATATAATCAGTCCAATAAAATACGAAATAACCATGAAAAAAACAATAACAAAAACTTGAAAAGATACAGAAAATTTGAAGATGACTACCATTCAACTTGTCCTAATAGACATTTATAGAACACTATATGCAACAACTGTAGTATAAATATTCTTTTAAAGTGCACATGGGAAAAAATAAAGTACACATGGAAGGTTCACCAAAATAGACCACATATATTCGGCTGTAAAACAAGTCAACACATTTCAAAAACTGAAGTTATATAAGGTGTTTTCTAGCCACAATGGAATTAAATTGGTAATTAAAAACAATAATGTATCAAGAAAATTCCTATTTGAACATCAAATAACATAATTCTAAATAAACCACAGGTCAAGGAAGAAGTCACAAGGCAAATTAGAATATATTTTTAGTTGAATGATAATAAAAATACAGCATGTTAGAATTTGTGGGATAAAGCTACAGCAGAGAGAAAC